AACAATTCATAGTCATCATTAGCTTCCAGCTGAGGCACAAGGAGGGGTTGGGTTTACCAGCTGATCCACAGTCTTAAACAGAAACCTGGGAGCTTGGTGAGGTGGCATGAGTAACAGGCGAATCGCAGCTAAAAACAATACATCTGTGGTCAGATATGGTCATGTCCACTAATTCCACAGAGGAAATGCTGACACCCAGGGTAAAAACCAAGTCCAGTGTATGACCACGGTTATATGTTTGCCCTTTGACATGTTGTTTGAAGTTAAAAGAAGTGGCCATATTTAAAAAGTCAGTTGCATTAACATTGTTGGGGTCATCAACATGAATATTAAAATCGCCAGAAAGAACAATTCTGTCATAATTTAAATCCAGAGTAGATAAAAATTCAGGAAGTTCTGATATAAATCCTCCAGGCAGTTTTGGGGGGCGATAAATTATAACAAATATGATAGGTTGCAGGCCTCCAACTTTAAGAGTGAGAAATTCAAAGGAGTTAAATTCATCACAGCGTACTTGATGATATTTAAAATTTTTCCTATACACGCTCACTAGCCCACCACCACAACCACTGACCCTCGGTTGACTAAAACAATCATATTGGGGCGGACACAGTTCAGCTAGCTGGCTATAGTCATTCATTTGCAACCAGGATTCAGTTAAAAAATCTAGATTTGCAGACAAGATAAAATCATTTAAGATAAAAGTCTTACTTGAAAGTGATCTCACATTGAAGAGAGCCATTTTAAATGAGTTTGTTCTGGGTGCTGGAGTTGGTGCAGTTGTCCTAATCCTTAAGAGATTACTATTATTTCTGTGTGGGATGTGCACATTTCGGTTTACTGGTCTATGCGTGATGATGACAGGAATAGAGCAGCTTTACATGCCAGCAGGTGGAGACAGTTGTTTGTGGCAGTGAGGCAGAGATCTGTTCAGTGAGCGGTGGTGCGTCCAGGTGTGCTGCATGAATGATTAGTCATAAACAATTGATTCATCACATGGTTAAAACTCCGTATTCTTTGAGAAGAAATTATTCCACCACATTTGGCGTTGAGGCTATGGGATAGACGCTCCGCTCATCAATGCACGAGTCCAAACAGGTAACACCGGGTGGTGACTGGCTGAATGCTCCAATCGGCTTAAAAACGTGAGTACGATGTTTTGAATAATTTCTTGCAAATTGGAAAAAACCTGAGCTGGTAATGTTGACCAGAATTAGACGTAAAACCTGGAAGGTAGTCTTGATGTTTCTGTCTGACGTGAGTGCATGAACACGCCCACTGGGATTCAGAAGTGTTTGTGAAATTAAAAGGAGTTGCAGAAGAACCGCCTAACCCTAAAAAGACTGATGGTGAGGAATGGGTTACATCAAAGAGAGAGTGAAATGATAATAGTGGACGAGGCATCAGTGGGAAAAAGAGCTGGAGAGCACATCCCAGACACAACAACGCAAATCGACATAGAAGAAGGTGCTACAGATGTAGAGGTTATGGGCACAGATCACGTGAGTGTTCCACGCCTGACTTCAACCAACAAGTGGGACAAAGTCCAGAAGATTAGACACAGACATCACATAGACACAGACTCACATGATGAGAGTGATAAACCAGTATTTACATACCAACAATATGTACAGTAAACACTTGTACAAGTTGTAAATGTGACATTTTCTTATAGACTCAGGTCTAAAGTGCTCCCTAATTCCCCATAAACATCAAAATACTTTTTTAAATGATTAGCATTTTCTCCTGGAACATTCCTGACCAGTGTTGGGCAAATTACTCAGAAATGTATGTAAGAGCAGTAGCCTATTATTCAGTATTTGTTTAAAACGTTGTTACGTTGCACGCTACTCTGTCCTGACGAGTGCATGCATCACTGGCCAGAAGCGGCCGGAGTTTCTTTCTTTAAGTTTCACATTGCTGTGCTGCTTTAGCAGATGCTTCAATAAATTAGCTGGAGAATTGTTGGCGGTTGAAAGCTTTTTGCTGGTCGCACAGAGTTTACAATAGACCTCGTTCTCCATTCTTCCTTTAGCTTTTTGAATAACAGCTGACTTGAACAACACAAAGTCCGGTGCCACTGAGCTGCCGCACTGTCGCACATTCACGTCAAGGATGGTGCATTCAGTAACACAGCGTTACTTGGACTAGTAACTGTAATAATATTACTGTTTTAGAAAAGTAATCCATTACACGACTTAGTTACTGGGAAAAGTGATATTACTTCAGTAATGTGTTACTGAGTAAAGTGTAATGTTGTGTTTTCAATCTGACTCAAGATTCAAGATAACCCTGTTTTCCATATTTTTGCAATAGGTGGTGATGATATATTTGTGTCTTCCCTCAAACCAGGGTGACACAGAGACACTATTTAGGTATTTGTTCCAAAATGGTTGCGTTTAATTTTGATCATAAATTAGGTACAGGAAATCCAGGACTTTCCAAAACCAATAACTAAATTCTTTTGGCTCTAGAAGGCTATTGCCATCAATGGATTAATATGGGAGGGGTTTTGTGGCGATCTCCCACCCCAAACAGGGGGGAAAAAACAGCTGGCCACTGACTGATTTTTTGATTTGGACTGCTAAGCAGATTTTTTTCCTGACTTAAAAGCGCCTCGACTGACTTTTGTGGCTTCAACGACTAGAAGCAGGATTCTGTCTAGGTCTTTTTTTGTTTCAGACTACTTGACTCGTTCAATCGTTTTGTAGATGATGTCAGTGCGGGCAGCTATATCATTTGGTTTGTAGTGTCTGTTTCTGCATTTCTTTTTACTCTAGGCACAAGACAGACGTCACAGTATACACTGATTCTGAGTATGCAATAAATGTTTTTTTTTCTTCTACAGGTTTTAAAGTTTTTCTAATTAACCTATTATTTGCATTCTTTTTTCACCTGCCTTCTACTGCTGTATGCAAATGTTAGGCACATACAGGTTTCAAATGACCCGGTGTAAAACGACCTGTAAAAAGGCAATGACAGTGTAAAAAGGAAATGCAAATCTGATGCTGTCCTCTTTTCCACATGTGCAAATGCTTTCTCCAGTATTTGTTTCTCTAAAGATAACTCCGGACATTGATTGATGGTCTCAACGATGTATCAAAAGGTGGGATCTGAATTATTTTCCTTTTTAAGTATTGTTTAAGTATTGTTTAAAATTTAGAGTTTTAAAACGAATACAGTCTCTGTCCACACCAGCGTTTTAAGCTGCGTATCAGAGTTGATCCGTCTGTAACGACTGCAAACGCACATCTAGTGGGTGTTCAGTACAGTGGGCATGCGCGTGCCTGTGTAAACATGAAGAAGATGGTCTATTCTGTAGTTACAGAAGATTTGGCAAAAGAATAAAGTACTACAGATGAAGAACCTCACCAGATTTTATTTTGCATGGACCAATAATGAGCTGGGACTGTGATTGAATGTAACACAGAGTTAAAAAACATTAAAAAACATGTTTTTTATTTGTTTTGTGTTAGTTCAATTCTCTAGTTAAGAGTTAATCATTTAACTTTCTAAATCTTTTGTATACCTATCAAGACATTTCTACAGTGAGTTTTACAACTGATTTTAAATTGTAGATTTTATACTTTTAGTATTTACTGTTTTTAATTTTAGGAAATAAGATTTTGTCCCAATGTTGTAACATTTTCAAAGTAAGAGCCACAAGATAAAAATTAAGATAAGATAAGACCATTCGTGTTAAAGGTGTTGACAGCGCCCCGAAGCCCTCTACCTTTACCATAACGGCCTCACAGCTGATGTGCTTGCAGGTAGGGTTAGCCTCCTTTGTGTTGCTGCGACGTAGCAAATGGTGGCATAGCAAACTGTAGCGTTTCATATGGACGCTGAAGGGTACCTTTAGCATCAAATAATTATACATAGTCAGGCTGTCTGAAAGCGTTGGTAATGACGCACTGCAAGTCCCGCACCTTGAGATTAGTCAATAATAAAAATAACTTTTGGGTGCAACTCTAGTTATAATGAATTGTATCACCTGCTGCGTTCAATCCAGGCTGCTTAGAACTGCTTAGCTATAAGGAATTCTTTACCTTTAACCTGTTTTTTTGACTTACAGCTCACAACCATGTAATGTGCAATGTAATTAATGACAGCATATTAACTACTCTAAGTCTAAAGCAAGAAGCAAGCTAATGTTAGATGGCCAATGCTGAGCTGGACAAAGGCACAGCAGCTGCGGATGTTTGTTGTCCTCTCTCGCATGTGCGCAGCAGATACGTAGTTTGTGTTACATAGGCAAGTTATAGGTAACGCTGGCGGGAATAACAGCAAGCTCATCAAATATTTCCTAAAAGTAAACATTGTTCACAAGTCCCGCACCTCGAGTCCGAGTCAAGTCTGAAGTCTTTTGAGGACGAGTCTAAAGTCAAGTCTGAAGTCACTGTGTGTGCGACTCAAGTCCGAGTGAAAATAGTGACTAATAAGTTTTAAGTAATAACTGTTAAAACTGCTTGCTTCACTACACTACTACTGCTGACTGAGACTCTATCCCACTAAGCACAACTCTTTTTGCACACATTATCTCTGACACATTGCACATGTACAGATACACACAAGGATACCATATTCTATTTTTATCTTATGTACTGTGAATATTTTATATATTTGATTTTTGATTCTACATTTATTTTTTTCTACTATCTACTTTTACTTGTATTTTATTCTGTCTTTAACTCTTTGCACTACATTCCCCTGTGATTCTGTGCCAATTTGAATTTCCCCTATGTGATCAATACAGGAATATCTTATCTATGCAGACAAATTGAGCTCTGTCAGTTGATTTGGTAGACAAATGTCATTGGAAAGCTGGCAGGCTCTGTGCATCTGCTGATCAGTCCAGCTGGCATGGAGACATTCCATACTGTACATGCAAATGGTCTTTCAGCGTGTCCCATAACACGCCCCCCAACACACTGACACACACACACACATACATCTTGTCCAGCCTAAACCAGTCCTTCTGACAGATGCGCTAACCTTCTCTGACTCAAATTCTGATGTGTACCTGTTAGATATGGAGCACAGACGGATCTCCGTTGCAGCAACCTTGATGGATTAATCATCTGATTTCTGTAGAGTGTGTTAACTGTAAAGCCAAGGTAAGATATTTTTATTAATATATTTTTATAATTTTGAGCGAGATGAGATCTTAACCAGAGCTAGATCTTTACATAGCACTGTACTATAGACAGTATTGTCCCTAATTCAGTTTTATTAGTTTATCAGTATTATTAAAACTATCAGTGTAAATAGCATCTTAAAAGCATATTTCCTTTAGGTTGATCAGATTGCTTGGTAAATCTGGGAGCTCTTTTTGCTATTGCATTGGAAACCCACAGCCCTTCAAAGTCAAAATGAAATGCTTTACCAATGTAAAAATGTTAATGCTGCTGCTGTGATAAGGAGCAGTTAAACCAGCATATTGTTAACAGGAGCTGTACTCCTCCATAGGATGAAGAACAGAAAGCTAATACACAAGTTTTTGTGATTTCATAAAGGTGAACTGCATTTCTCCCTCTTACATGATAAAGTGACTGACTGAAGAATCAGAGTAAGTTAATCAGCAACTTACTCTTTACTTCAATGGGTAAATGTTCTACACAAAGTTGTACATGGGATGTAAAAATACTTTTCTCTTTCCTGAAAAAATTCATGCTGAATGGAAGCAGATTTATTGTATCTTCAAACATTGAGGTAATGTGTTTCCTAATGCTCTTCAGATTTTAGTCAGTGTTTTTAGTTAATGTGCAATTCAACAAAAGAAATCCATGCAACCTTTGCCTTTCTAAAAAAAAAACCGCACATTGTAAGCTTAAAAAATGATTATCATTATTTCTGGGGCATTTTATAATAATTATTATGGATATATGGCTATTGAGCAGGTGTCCCTGTTTTGTAGGTTAATATAATATGTTGCAGTAACTGTATGTAATGTAAATGCTCCGTATTTGTATAGCGCCTTTCTAGTCTTTTCGACCACCCAAAGCGCTTTTACACTACAGCTGCATTCACACACATTTATTAACTAATGTTCACATACACACATTCATACACTGGCGGAATAGCAGAGGGCAATTTGGGGTTCAGTATCTTCCCCAAGGACACTTTGACGTGAAGCCTGGAGGAGCTGGGGAATGAACCGCCTGCCTTCCGATTAACAGGCAACCCGCTCTGGCTCCTGAGCCACAGCCACCCCATGTATGTATGTACACATTTGCGTAAGTGTATATTCTTGAACATGACGTACATCAGGACGTCTGTTTAGGAACACCTCCAAATTTGTGACCACAGTTTTAGAATGGCTAAAAGAAAACCATGTCCTAAATCAACATGAAAATGAGGTGGGCATGAATTGTACTACGCAAACAGGCCTTTGACCAAACTGGGTACATAACACCACTGATATGGGCAGGAGTGAACAGTGCACTGTTATGAGAACCAGGGGAAACCAACAACTCGTTGTGTGTTTTCCATAATCCAAATTCAAAGACATGCAAACAAGTTTGACAAGGGAAAACACCAGCTCCTAGAGCACTGGAAGGCAAAACAGATAGCTGCTGATAAGATTGTCATGAAAGTATTAGGATAAACATGTTATAATAGTATAAATGCACAACTCTAAGAGTCAAATACAGACAGGCTGATGCTGAGACAGCTAACACACAAGTTGAATAAATTCAATCCTATGTGAAGTAACATTGTCTCAGCTTACTGATCAAAATTGAAAATATAAACTGGCTGATACAAGACTTAAATATTGCAACCATGATCAGCAAGTTTTTGAAGGGACATAATCAAGCCCTGAATTTAGGTTTGAAGCTGCTATAATCAAAATTTTTATACTAAAGGTGATAAAAATGACTATGTGTATTATGAAAGGTGTTGCTGACCACCCAATACTGCAGTTAACCTCAGCTCAGAGCATTTTAGTTGTTTTGCTGTTACAGCACGCAAATTTATTGATTCACTTTCAAAAGGCTCTGACAAACCCACTGTACACAACCTGCACTGCACCAAACAGCAAGTCAGACAAAGTTTATAACTAGCTAATTAACATAAGCTATAACGGTTTCCTCAGGAGTTGCCAAAGATCAAAATAAAGCAAGAAGGAGAGAAAATGTTGACCTAAAATTTGTTTGGTGACCAAAAATAAAACTCTAAATAAATTCTGATGTTGCTGTGTGTCTGCTGGATGTGTAATAGAAAACTGTATGCTAACACTGAAACAGCTGACTGTCCAATCCTTGGAATCAGCGGTATTCAATGCTGTTTTTGACTTGACTGGACGGTGCATTTGTTTTTAAATTTGCTTAGCACAAGTGAGTGATAGCTTAATGGCTGATCTGTGCTTCCATGAATGTAAAGTGCATGAGCACCATTTCAGTTTGTAGAGGTATGTAAAATCATTTACATGCATTTACCTGCTTGGATGCACCCCAGTGTTTGTCAAGTGGAAAATGTGGTCTTTAATCAAAGTTCAGGGGGTTACCAAAATTACTAGGAATCATCATTTAGAGAGGGTGCTGTCATCTGGCTATGAATATTATGGAACATTACAAGAAAGTGCATGTAGATCTATGTATGTGCATTTGTGACTGAATGCATTTTCAGTCTCCTTGTTCCTTAACTGGTTTGTTTTCTTTCAGCAACAATGTGGTCCAGGGTGTTTGTGTTTCTGATTGGAGCTGTTTACATCTACCATCAGGTAAAGATGCTTATAAGTCTAATGTGTTAAATATCTTTGGATAGGAACAAATGAATCGTGTTCTTAATTACTGAAAGGACAAAATCCAACTTTGTATGTAGGTCAGTGTTTATTTGAAACACTAAAAAGAAAAGACTGAACAACACCCATGACAGAAAGACTAATTCTGTTGTTTGCTGTTCTTGACATTGCAGGTTCTTGCATCAGGTGAGTCACTTGTCATGTTGTCACATTGTCATGTAGGACACTTCAGTGAAATACGTCCTGTTTCTTTTCATACAATTTTTGTTGTCCTAGATGTAAAGGCCATGAGGTTAAGCAAAGATGAGAAGAAGTATTCAAGAGGACTTTGGAACAAACAAGCAGGCAATCCGAATTCACTTACAATATTTTTTTAACAAACTTTACTTCTAACACATGGAAAATATGTACATGCTGTAAATTTCAAGCTTTCCTATCCAAAATAGAGTCAACCGTCCTAATGAAGTATGTTTTCAACTTATACAAATGGAACATTTAATCATCTTCATTTCTAGAAAGTGTTTCTTCCATATTAGTTTTTGAGCATCAATCCTCATTTTTCTGTTTTAATCAGAAATCATGTCATTCAGAAATGAACCCTTGTATGGTCTTCACTTTTGGTACCCTCTGGTATCCCTTGGGTCAAATTGAGTAGCAAGTACCAGGTACAAATTTTTGAGCTGGTACCATGCGGTGGAAAAGGGCCATAATAGTGTTTTCCTAAGCAGAAAAACGTGGTGCATTAATTTAATCTCCAATGTTGCTCCACAGATATCACTCAATGTCCACCTTCTGGTATGGGACAAATTGTGCTTTGTTTTGAATGGATACAGTTGAGCAGAGCCCATAGTAGCTTCACTGCACATAGTGAAAAGTGTTGTGAATATTGTTGTATATGCTGATGACAGTCTCCTGTAATGAACTTTCTCCTGTTTTCTTCCACAGAAGTCGTTATATATGACATTGCTCTAGTCCTTGAATTGCGTATCCCAGTCTCCAGTGTGCCATCATATTTCATTGAACTATTCAGGAACACTGTGAGAAGTGTCTTGCTTCCCTACACCATCACTCAGTCTTTAAATGTAACAGGCTTAAATTTCACCACAGGTAAGAACTTTTGTTAATTGTTTCCTTCTGTTTGGCTAATTGAATGCTTTTTTATCCAATAGTGTATGATTTGCGTAGACTGGCTTGAACTGTTTTTGAATGTCTTTAAAAGGGTGCTATCCAAACTCCACTGGAGGACTGCAGTGTCACTGTGAGGAGCAGTTTGCTTGGTCATGTGACCAGTGCAACATCTACGGTGCGTGCAGCAATGCAACCAGCCAAACCTGTGGGTGCATAAATGGACTTCCGTCTGATGGAACGCTCTGTGAACCAATCACAAGTAAGAATTTTGAAGCTGGTGGTACGGCCAAAAAAAGGTAACAAATGAATATTTACTGTATCTGCCTTAATGTCCTACTAATTTAATCCCCAATGTTGCTCCACAGATATCACTCATTGTCCACCTTTAGGTATGGGACAAATATTGCTTTGATTTGAATGGATATTGATGGTGATAGTTGAAGAAATATGTTAAAAAATAAAATGAATGTATTGATCTAAAAGAACATTTATTGATGCCAAGTGTTGCAGAATACTTAGATCAACATAATTCAGGATGACGTCACTGCACAAAGTGAAAGTTTTGTGAATATTGTTATATATGATGGTGATATTCTTTTACAGCGGCAACTTCACCACCCAGCACAACTACAACAAAACCAATGATGACTACAATGCCCACGATAACAACAACACAGGGTATTACAAAAAGAATATGTGAATGAAGTTATATGTATCTCATGAAAGTGCTTCTTTGTGATGACAATTGTTTCTTTTTTAGCGAACAACTTGACGTTCACCATGGACTTAGTTTACAATTCTACATACAATAACCCGACAAGTGAAGTTTACAAAAACACTAATAACACTGTAAGTCTTAATGTGTCAATCAGTTTTGTCCCAATGTTCATGTACTGAATTTATGTGATGTTTGATCCTGATGTAACTGTAGAACTGATTACAAGCAGGCTATGCCATTGTTTCAAACAGATTCAAGAACAATGTAAGGCGCACATCTCAACTCTAGTATCAGTCAACATCATTGGCTTCAAGTAAGTCAAAATTTTCTTTTGATTGTACTTATGACAATTTCTTTTCAGGTTCATAACATACTATATTATCATAGTGTTAGGGTAAATTTGGTATTTAAATGCAATATTTACATATAGGAGTGGTAGCAAAGATGTCTTTCAGTAGGATATTTTAAGGGTGTAGTCCCTAAATTGGAAATTAGAATTCTTCACATCAACTTTAGCTCTAGAGGTTGTAATGTTGGCCAGTCTACCACATCGGTCCAGGCTAAATTATATCAACCACTGTTGGATGGATTGACAGGGATAGGCGGTTTTACCATTTAGCAAAGGTGGGCAGTTTACCGGTGCCTCGTCCGCCAAGGGGCTTCGCAATTTCACTGTCCTTTTTCAAAGTCTCCTCCTGTGTGTGTTACTGCTGGTAAGCAGCACACTGGCCGTCCCAGCAGGACACACTGGTTGTCAAGGACTGGGCCTCTTCCAGACTGGTGAGTTTGATTTAGAACGCCGCCACAGATATTCCCTGAGCTGACAGGGCTGTGTGTGCTGCGTGTGCTGGGTGTGTTCCAAAGGCACATGTGCCGCAAGCGCGTGAACCGAAGGCCACAATACGCTAACTTGTGTGTTTCTGTTGTGCATTTTCCATTTCACTGTATGAACCTGGACTGTTTTGAAGGTTTTCATGTGTTTCCCCAAGTGTGGACACTGAGCGTGGAACAGTTTTTCAAGGTGAAATGAGGGAAATAACGGTTTAATCAGCTGTGCCCGTATGGCCATCATTTAAGTTGATCGAGTTATCAGTGGTTTTTATTCAATTTAATTTATTTATACATACATATAATTATGGAGGTCCGGACCTCAGTGACCTCATACAACCATGCTTGTAACCACTCTGTGTTGAAGGAAAGTGTGTAAGCACGTGCCCACACACAGTCGTGTCATGCATGCATTTCTACTGTGCAGCACCCCTAAGCAAAAATGTCTTCCCATGCGCCTGCTCAGTTGCACTGCAAAGTGGAGACCGCTATTAGCTGAGGCAGAGTGGACAGGGTAAACTGTGATCCAGCTTCGTACCATCGATCACGTTTATAATACGCTATCTTTACCAACATTGTCTTGCCAGTCATTTGTATCATGTATGGTTATTAATCTGATGTCGAGATGACCTGCAGCCTGTAAGTGACACAGTCTGGATGCTAAGATACACTCGCCCGAACACAGCGTGGAGTCAGCTGTGGCCAAGGTACATGCTCAAATTAACTTGTGATAAAACAGCTGTATCTACCGTCGCTCATGTCTCATCTCACTCAAGTAAGAACACATTTAAACCAACCGTGGCACAAATCATTTGGATGGTTTATTGATGTTTTACAGTGTTTTGAAAAGCGACACAGTCACCTCCATGATCACACTCAAAGTCCACGCTTTGAACTAATCTGCAGGTGGGAGAGGTCCCTGTGATTCATCGTGCAGCTAACAACGTAGCCTGTAAACTACATTCAGAAGCATATATCTACATGACAATACTTTACATAGATAAACAAAGTTATCAGAACGTATTTTCCTGGTTTGCAGTCAGTGGATCCTGAAGACACGAGTCACCAGTTAATTTAGCCACCAGTTAAACTATCACACTGGCCGGACTACGGAAAGTAACTCCGGTGTTGTCGGAGAATCGCTTGTCTATTAGGCGTCAATTGGTTTTATTTTTGTTGGCCAATCTTTGTATTGACACTCGGTATGTTTTGTTTCCTTGCTGGGATCCAGAAGAAGAGATTTCTGGTGACATTTGGTCTCTGGGAAGATTAATTTCCTGCACTCTGTAGACATTTTCTGTTCCAATTCATGGTGGAAACGAGTTTAAACATGAGTTACTGTAATTCTTTTGATTGAGTAATCACATTTTGCAGGTCACTTAGAGTGGTGATCTTAATGTACCACATCATACCACTGTGCTTAAGAGTTTTGACAATTGTAAGTTTGTTTCATGACAGCAAAACAAGTAACCATACAGTGTTTTTGTAAGTGGTTAAGACCTATTTGTAAGTGGTTAATGGTGGTTAACATCAAGTTTACAGAGCACATATAATATGAACTACATGTGATTGTATTTTCATTGAGATTCAATTCTGTATTACAGGAGTGGAAGCACCATCGTTGACTATGCTATAAGAGCAAACTCTATAAATGATACGGAAATTGGCTCAGTCACAGAAGGGGTATTTATACAACTGGGAAAAATATACCCTGTGATATTTGACAGTGAGTTTTTGAAATATTTTATGAGACATAAGGATTGTTTGTTATGTCAGGAATATCTGATGATTTTGTGCAGATGATTGTATAATAATTGTCTGACTTTTGTGTGTGTTTTTAAAGGCCCACTAAACTTTCAACCATCTCTAATCTTTTTGGGGGCAAGTGTGACTATAACATGCGGCCCTCCACCACCGGGTCTCAGTTTCGTCACCAACTGGACTGCAGAGTGGACACTTAACGGGATTTCAATACCCAAAGATAGTGAACACAACCAGTTACCAGTTGATAAAGGAGTAGCAAACTTAACTGTGAAACATGTTTTTAGCGTTGACAAAGGTAAGAAATAGATACAGTATGGTGCAGTCAAGAAATTATTTTAAATTTTTGTCCCAGGAGACATTAACAATCACATTTACAATGCAAGTACTGTCTAGGACATTTGTCCTTGTGCTCTGACCCGTGCGAATGCAGTACTCTGATTGGCTTGAGGGGCAATATTTGTCTTACAAAACAATAACATACACTGTGTCTATTGTTTAGCCTGTGTCACCAATACCCAAAAAAATCATCAGGTCATGGTAATATTTAACCAAAAATGTTACCAAAGTATGATATAGTTTTATTCCATTACTCATGAATCTAAAGTGGTAACCCTTCATTTTTTTCTTTTTTTTTTTGTTAGCTCCTCGATTGGAAACGCAAGTTAAAGATAAAATGATTATACAGGTTGAAATGCATCACAAAAGAAGAAAAAATATTTTCCTAATGACAGAAGCCTGTCAATGTTCCACACTGAATGGAGTGAGACAAGCTAAACCCAAACCACCTAAAGGTTGATGCGATAAAGCCAAAAGCACTCAAGAGAGAGGAGGAGGAGAACAACAATCTCTGTCCTGTCCTAAACCAAAGACAGGACGCTGGGGCAGAATAATTTGTTGTTTGGTGTGTGTTGAACTGTTTGGAAAAAGAGGCAAAATTTCAAGAAATGTGTCTAAGCAATCGAGAAAAACTGTAATAGCTCCTGTGTTTCAGCACATTTTCTGCTCATGGTCAAAAGCCAAAAAAGAATATTTAATCGTTTTTAAACAACCGGCTACTTGAAATACACCCACAAGGAACCGCGGCGTGCATGCAGTTGTGGTCAGCACGGCACGGCAGGCGAGAGAGAAAAGTCAACAATAAACGTCAGTTTAGCTGGAAATTTACAGTGTATGTTGAATGAAAAGATTCTCAAGATTAAAGTGGAGCCCCCCCCCTCGCAATCGCCGTGCACAGGAACACACATAAATCGACTATCAATTGACTATAGGCAGGACTTGACGATTCTGATTCGACAATGTAAATCCTTAGTCGGGGGCAGCCCTAGTCTCGCAAGACAGCTTTTCACTTGACAAGAAATATCATCACAATTTAATATTGCAAGATCTCGCTCCACGAGATTTCATCACATCCCTAATGCATACTGATCAAGTCTTTTTAAGTCTCTTAACTCAAAGCTTACAGCACAAAATATTTGGAAGTTGTAGATAATGTTGCTCCCACTATATCACAACTTAAAAGCTGATTTAGGTTGATGCCCCCATGAAAATCTGATGGGGATGTTAACTCATATACTTTTGTATTTGTTTTGCAACACTGTCTTCACATTGATTTGATGTTAATTAATGATCACCTTTAATTTCAGGACTTTATCAATGTCTGCTGACAGACAGCAGTAAAGTTTTCCATGGAATTATCAGACAGAAATTCAATATAACTTTGCAAAAAAAACCCTTGATCCAAGTGACACCAATCAAAAAACTGGTCAAATGTGAAGTGAACGTGACAGTGACGTGCTCTGTCAACAGCCCCTATCAGGTTGAGTTTATTGGCCTACCTGCTAAAGGTAAGCCTGATACAAACAAGGAACAAAAGGCAAATAAGTTAATGGGAAATATTTTACAAATTATACTACAATGTTTGAGATGATTTGTATACATATATAGTATTTTGTGTGTGACTGGTTTTTTTTGTATGTTTAGGCACAAACATCACCAATACATTTTCAATATCCAGTAACTTACAAAACTATACTATCACTTGTCGAGTGATAAACCATACGGAATATAGCAGCAACATAACACTGGTGTTACTCAAGGAGAGTAAGTATTGATATTAGACATTAGAATGTATTATACAATTCAGGTCAATATATGTTTTCCTGTAATACATTTTTAAAATTTCTTTCTCTCTAGATTTTACATGTCCCAATGATCCTGTGTTTGGTAATGGAACTGTTGATTACACAGCTGAAGCTCCCTGCGAACCAAACTATGTGGGAGCAAAGACAGCAGTTTGTAAGAACAATGAATGGGATGATCGACAAGACAACTGCATCCTGCAAGTTGTCCAGGAGCTGCTCGAGCTGTCTCAGGTGACCTTGTTCAGCAGATCTGGCCCCGACAGTGTTGGAGCCCTAGGGGAGATTTGAAATTGCAAGAACACTGGTTTATGTTTAAATGGTCGAGGGACGGGCTCTGTGTTTGTCAGTGTAGAGGGGGTAGCCTACAACTATATCAGCAGAGCGATAACGCAGGGTAATGCACAGCAGAGGGGCAGGTAGATTTTCTTAAAATGTAATGGCTTTATTTTCATCAGATTGCGATTTTATTCTCATAATGTTGCAACTTTTGTCTCAAAATGTTATACTGCAAATGTCAGAGAACAGTGGCAGTGGCAAATTTGGTTTATTATTTGATTTGATTACATGAATGTTTAAGTTGAGATTTACAAGACACTTGTGTATATAGCAGTACATTTAAATTAAAAGCACGCAATACACTACTTTAGAATTGATTATTCAATTTTGCGTATAATAATGCAAATGCGATTGATTTTAACTGTTGCCCAGCACTAATTTTTTATATATATACACAAAAGTATTGAAATGGTGAGGCATATTCCTTTGTTTTTGATGTTCACTGAAGACATTTGGGTTTAAGATCAAAAGATGAGTATGAAACAAGAGTTCATGAGCCTGTTTAGTCCCCTACTTTTGGAGGGGACTGTATGTATATCTTGATACAGTTGCTGTATGTTTTTTTTTTTGTGGGAAGATTTCTGGGCTGGGCTATGGCCTCAATATTTCAAGAGCCTGAAACGGCCCTGCTCTTTAGACCGTTTGACACAGTACGGGACTGCATGCTGCATGTGAAACTAAAACCAACTGCAAACCGTGATCAGGCAAAAATATAACCACAAATCCACACACGTTAACTTCAACTGCTCTGATAAAGTGCAGCTAAAAGACTAAGGTTGTACCTCAGTTTTTAGATGTTTATATTGCAAAACTCTACCAATTACGTTACCACTCGTCACAACAATCTGGACTTACAGCGCACGGTGACCTTGATTAATGGCTTATGCTGGTGTCGCATCAGCTGGGCGGAGTTGATTCATGCCAAGTCAGAATCTTTATCTTCCAGCACTCAGGCCTCTGTCATATGTTTTCTTCCTCCTTTCTCTTTTTGAAATTGTTGGTCTGGGCCTGTGGTTGGCAATAGGCGGCCCGCAGGCCAAAACTGGCCTGCCAGCAATAATATCTGGCCCGTAGCCAGATTACTTTGATATAAATGTAAACCAAACGCTACTTCATACACAAGTGCCAGAACAAACTGGACCAGAGGCTACTACATCAGTATAGGAATGTAAATTTTATTTATGTTACATCAAAACAAAAGAAAAAAAACACAATTCAGGACTAGACTGCATTACCAGCAAAACTGATGTAGAATTGAGCACCGACAAATTATAACCAAACTGGTAGACAAATAAGAAAATAAACCACACGCTCAAACCAATTAAACCAAATACTATGGAAAACACTATATCTATATCTGCATGCCGCACACTAATTACACAAAACACCCATGCAAAATGGTTACTCTGTCTTTCAGTTTCCCCCTTTAACACAGCCAGAAACACAAAATATGGCCCATTCAAGGATCTAGTGTGAGCACAATAAAACTAACCGGTGGGAAAAAAACTGTGGTTGGCTCTCCTAATAACGGCTTGCTTGACTTAGAAACACATTCCCCTCCCTCCGTTGAAGGCATGCAAGGTGACTGGGATCTGTGCTTTAGCTGATGTGTTTAAACAATCACTCCAAGCTTTGGACCCTCACCACAATGAAGTCTAATAAATAACAGGTTTTTAACAATTATTCAACTTATCTTTAATAAAATCAACAACAAATTATTTGTTACAACCCAGCTCGTTAGGGTAGGGCAGTAACAAGGTATTTGGGTTAAATTAAGGTGGTAAGGACAACTGAATTCAGGTTGAGTCGAAGTTTAATTAAATGAGTTGTCTCCAAAAAAAACACAACAAAAGGAGGCTATGTAGGTACTGACAAAAAAAAACACTTAACAAAAGGAGGTCAGTACCTACATGCTGTACAGGAATGTAGTGTAACCAAACAAACAATTTTCCCCCTTAAAGGGTGCCACTCACAATCTAGTTTACAAAGGTTTTTACTGACAAGAGTCACTTAAGCCGGCAACCAACAAACAGATCAGATTTAAACACTCAAGACATTCACAGGGGTACACAACCACCAACAAGGCGAACTGATCACTGGCTCACAGTCGCCTCCAACTGCAGGAACACAAACTATTTGTAGGCCAGCTGGTGTTGATTGGTGAGTTCTGGTTGGCAGGTTCGGTAGGATCCTCGGCCACACCAATCAGACGCCAGCAAACAGCAACCAGGAAGTGGGTGGTTCCAGGTCCAGGGGAACCAATCCTCGACAGGTGCTTGCCGTGGGGATTTGCATACAGCTCAGAGAACTCCAAAACACAACTACTCTAAGGCAGCCAGCGGCGGCCGTAACATATTCTAGGATCTAGTTCTGGACATGCATTATTAGCCTTAGATTTTTAAACATTATTTTTTAAAAGTTAAACCTATTTAAAAATAAAGCCTACCCAATCAAGCACCAAACAAAGGCTGGCCTCAGCTGCTCTCTCAGGTGTGTGACTGCAGAAAGAAAGGACCAGGTGAGCTTCCCTCCCCTATTTATAGACTCTGCCTCTTTACCTGGGTCCTAGTGCTAAATGTTGCGTCGGAAATAAGGACCGGCCAGGCCAGTGGAAGACCTGGTCCCTACCCTAACCAACGTATTAAACTCAACAAAATTACTCTATTAGCTTTCTTCTGTAGTCAAAAACTGCATAGTCACAGACTTCACTGGAGACGGTCAAGAGTCGGTGCAAAAGAGTTTATTCCAATAAAGGACAGATAAACCCGAGTAATATCCCTGCAGTTCTCAGCATGGAACTGAGCTGGTGGTCAGCGAACATCTCTTTATATTCACCTCAAACTCCACCTTATCTCCTCCTTCCAGGTGGGCGTTACACCTTAACTCCACCTACAGTGTTCGCTGACCACTCCTCTCCTTTGGTGAATTTATTATCCTCTGCTGCCATCTAGTGGCCGTTTATATGTACTGTTTTACCAAATTAACCCTTTCACTAATTGTCACAATTTCCAATTAAATAATTAAAGCGGCTGCAAATCCACTTCCTCTTAAGTGATTGTGCCTACAAAAAAAGCGTGAGAACATATTTGTAGCAGTACTTAAGTGAGAGCTTTTACCTTGAAAAGTTCTGAAGGAAATTCAAAAGAGTCTCTGGCTTACTTGACACACCTCTGTAAAAGCTTTCAGAAAATGTGAGATCAAATTCCCCTGAATAAGAAAAGCAGGAATTTCCTCTGCTTGGAGATACTGGGGACACAAAAATAAGCATCCATAGGTTGATGTGGACCAATCTCCGGGATATACACACCCCTGCGCATGTTTAATTGTGATATGTCCTATGATCTCTACACAATAAATTTTTTGAAAAAGGAAGAAAAAAACCCCTTCCAAACAGGAGTCCTGTGCACTACCAACCAAGCTAATCGCACACAAGTAAATGTAGTAACAAATTCATGTAAAATGAATATAAATGGTCAATTGACAATGTTCTGGCCCTAAAGATGTGAAAAGAATTTGGTCCGATGCCAGACTTATTTGCCAACCCCTGGTCTAGGCAGTGGTAGAACAGTAATACTGCACTGTAGAAATAGCTAGATAAATAAAACATTTATTAAGGTAAATGTAGTAACAAACATTATGATTGTATTGTGTATAATCTGAACAAGTATGCTGTCAGATAAATACAGTGTTTCTTCTAAAATAGAGACTGATCACTCCTAGTAAGAGTCTAATCAATCAATTCATCAATATTTATTCGTGTAGCACATTTCAAACAAAAGCCATGACACACAAAGTGCTTCACACTATAATACACACACACACACACACACTGATTTAAAGTAAAAGACAATAAAACATGAGCATAAAACTCAGATTTGCTATGAGGAAACACTAGAGGCTGAATAAGGTATTAAAAGAAAAGTAAAATAAGGATAAAAATAAATGACAAAAAATAAAAAATTAAATCAAATACTAAAATAAGAATAATTAAAATAAGATAACATGATACAAAATAGAATAAAACAGCCTATGAGTAAAACAAACTGAAATCTAAGTTCAAAGATTAATAAATAGATAAATCGTTCAATCGATAAACAGATAGCTTAATTAAATAAATATTTCATTAATCAAAAGCGGGGTTAAACAGGTAGGTATACTTTTTAAAATATCAATGTTCTCTACTATAGAAGTATACAATTGACAAGACTTTATTTGGGCTGTTAATGTATTCCATGGGGGCAAGAAAAATTACAAAATGGAGAAAAAAATTGTAACTGAATGTCCACCTACAGCACGGGCTGTAAGTGGACCTTAAGTCTATATTATGTACTGTATACGCATTGGCATAATGGTATTTGTGTATCTTTGGTTAGGGTGATCATGTTCAAAGGATGCTAGGTTGGGTTAGGAGGTTAGCAAGTATTTTTTAGAGGTTACAGACAAATAATAATAATACAAAACTATCATTATACTTTGTAATGTTAGTGTTTTCTGAAACATAAATTCAAATAATTGCTATAAAGAACTAAATTCCTCAAAAAAATTATTCTATGCCAAATATGCCCAATATACTGTACATAGTAAGAATAAGTATTTGAATAAATTAGTATTAGATCAGGTTTATTTTAATCAATACCGATCCATTAAAATATGCCAGGATAACAATCCTTTGGACTTCCTCGGGGCATCTCTAATATTAATATTTGGGGTTATGTATATATGTGTTTTGGGACTGGTCTATGCTTTATGTAGGTGAGTTTTTGCCTTTAAAGATACCTTAACATCTCTCCTACATTTAATCTACTGCTTTTAAAGGGGCAGAGAGGAACTTAAACGATTGGTCATTAGTGAAGCTCACTTAAACTCCACCAGCTGATACTGTAGTCCTCGTTATAAGAATGTATTTACCCTCACTTTAATATTGGGCCTTTCACATTTCACACATTTCCGCCTCCTCAATCCTTGAGCGTGTGACCCGGAAATCGATCTGAGCGCGCCATCTTGATGGACATCTCAATTCTTAAAATGCACATCGAGGTGGGAGGATTGAGGATCGAGAAGTGAGGATACATCGGTGTATCCTTTGCGCAAGTCTTTTCAGGCGCTGTGACATTTAAAAGAGGCATGACATACAGCTGGACCAACCCATAGCCGCAGCAGGACTCTGCAGTGTTTATGTGGTATTCATAATTTGTATCAGTTAAGCCTATTAAAAATGATAAAATGCGCGATCAAACTTTCTGCCCTTCATCGTTTGTGTAGCGGCTCATAAAGCGCTGTTCTAACCGCATTCCTTAATGTCATTTCACTTTGATATCACTGATGTTGTTATTGTTGAATGTGATGTGCGGATTGGCAGCAAAATTGTAAAAATGAACATTAAATAGCGGCTGGATGAAGCCTCCCCAGAGACACTGCGCGCATTTATGCAAGAGCAACAGCAACATAAATTAATAATGAAAACATCGGGATCTAATGTTAATTCATGTTCTGTGTTCTTCTGCACATCCAAAAGGTCTCACACACAGTCCAGTTTCATACAGTGAAACTGTTATGAGTAAATCAGCCGTCCTTCTGATCAATCCTGAGCTCCATCAGAGTCTAAACATGTATTATAGAAGCTGAAATTTAATTCTGTTTTCTTTCCTGTCAAGTTTATTACTGCAGGTTTTTTGGGTTTGTCCCACGATATTTGCTGTAACATTACTGCACAGATGGAAACGTTTAAACAGCAGCCTCTCTAACCATCAAATTAAATTATTAAAGATAATAACAGTACATCAATATAACACACAAGAAAGAAATCGCCTAGAAACCTACAAGGAGCTTGCATCTAAATCTGATGAAATAATTAGTTGGTGGGGGGCGGGTGGAGGATTTATGTGTAGCCTATAGGAGTTCCGTTGATGTCCGAGCTGATCCTCCCACGTGTCATTCCAACCGTAGAGTCCTGTGGTGTTTTAATTGGGGCTATATGAGATAATTGTTACAGGGTCATTTTGTAAAGGGACTTATGATGAAACGCTCACCTCATCAAGCCAAGGGCTGAAATAATCTCCTGTTTTCTGTGTTTGTACTGTTTAGCCTGCTATAATGTTGACAGACATGTTTCTGGATTGTGAAGAAATTATCTGTAGCCTTTAGTGCCAAAAGATGGTCAGCTCATCTGTGATCACAGCTTAACACTGGACAGATGATTCAGCTGTGCAACAGGTAAAATTTAATTGACGTTGCTTTAAAATGACGACTCCGAGGACAGGACATCTCATTTCGTTAAATGGCTATTTCCTCTCTCCTCGCGCCTCCTTCTCGACTACTCGAGCTTGCATCTCGGGAGGAGTTGAGGATCGAGGATCGAGGATCGAGGAGGAAGAAATTTGGGAAAAGAGAAAGGCCCGTTGTGTCACACTGCGCCAGGACTGCCCTACTGCCAATTGTCTACAATACTGCAAAAACTCAGTTGGTCATACCCATCAGCATCAGGAGTTTGTGCTTGCGTATGCAACGTAACAGTTTACGGATGAAAGATAGAATCAAAATTTGATTTTTCTACAAACAAAAACTAATGCCATTATTTTAAAGATATGAATACAAATCCTACACTTTGTAAATTTAATTTGATCTTTTAGATACTGTGTAATGCTGCTACTTGTTTTCCTTAAATTCTTGCAGAACTTGAATAATAATTCATTGCCAAGATTCTTGACACAACTCAGCTCTGACACTGTCAACTTGACTGAGCAAGTGGTTAACTCTCCTGGAACCATTAAGGCCATTGTTCAAATACTCAACAATGTAGCCAATGTGTCATCATCACCAAATATCCCAATAACTAATTCTTCAATGGAGGTATGTAAATTAGTATATTGAGGTTTATACATGTCCTACACAATATGCACATTTCAATAAAATTCACATGTACTAATATCTTCTTTCCTTTGAATTTAGAACATCCTATTAACTGCAGGTGTCCTAACCACGAATGGCTCAAAGACATCATGGGGCTATCTGAATGGCAATGACACCAGCAACATCAGAGCAACACAAAGAAAAAGTGTCAGCTCAGCATTTTTGCAGTCCCTTGAGAATATAACAAGTCGCCTTACCAATGACTCTTTCAATATTGACACACCTTCAATTCTCTTGAACAAAACTACATTTACAAACACTTTCATGGCAGACTTTGATTCCTCTGTGGAGATAGACATACCAACATCTGATGGAAGAAGTAAGTTTATCACTGTGGTAACATTTGCCTCAATGGATAACGTGCTCCCTGCAAGAGACAAAGGAAATTCATCCATCTACGTCATCAACGGGAGAGTCGTACTTGTTCAGTCCAGTGGTACCGTCGATAATGTTTTGTTCACATTTGATATTATAAACAATACTCTGGGGAACGCTCAGTGTGTTTTCTGGAACTTCAGCCTCTTCAGTGGTCTCGGGGGATGGGACAATGGGGGCTGCGTGTTGGTATCCAGCAACACCAACGTCACCTGCAACTGCAACCACCTGACCTCGTTCTCTATCCTTATGTCACCTAACACCATATTTGACATTGTGTTGGATTACATTACCTACATTGGAGTTGGCATATCTATGGCTTCCTTGGTCATATGCCTCATTATTGAAGCTATCATCTGGAGAAAAATAAGAAGGAACACCACATCTTACTTGCGTCATGTTTCCATTGTTAACATCGCTGTGTCTCTCCTGATTGCTGACATCTGGTTCATTATTGGGGCCGCCATCTCAGATGCAAAGACAATAAACCAACCAGCATGCACTGCGGCTACATTTTTTATCCATTTTTTCTACCTTGCCCTGTTCTTCTGGATGTTAGCCTCAGCTCTGCTGTTGTTCTACCGCACAGTCAGTGTCTTCGACGGGGGTTTGTCTAAAACATCTATGTTGGCTATTGGATTCTCTCTAGGCTACGGGGGCCCTCTCATCATCGCTGTCATAACTATAGCTGCCACTGCACCCCAAAAAGCGTACATCCGAGACGCTGGGGTCTGCTGGCTCAACTGGGATAAATTCAAAGCTCTACTGGCATTTGTGATCCCTGCACTGACAATAGTGGTGATAAACCTGTTAATCCTGCTTGTTGTGATTTACAAAATGTTGAGAAGAAGGGTAGGAGACTCTGCACAAGCAGCTGAAAGACATGTTATGGTGACTATTGCAAGGAGTTTGGCTGTCCTCACACCATTTTTTGGATTAACTTGGGGTCTGGGAGCCGGAACCCTCGCCGACCCAACAAATAGAGGAATCCGTATTATATTTGCATTGTTCAATTCACTGCAGGTACAAATACAGTAGTTGATGACCTATATATTATTGTATACTGTGATACCTAAAATATTGTACATATTCTGAATTAGTCAATATGTCATCTTAGCTGATGCTACTCTGTCTTTCTTTTAAGGGTTTCTTCATATTGGTGTTTGGAACTCTGCTGGACAAAAAGGTGTGTGTCTCAATATTTTTTTTAACTATACAACTGCTCACTTAATTCAATGGAAACCCCACTCTAAAGTAGAATTCAGTTTTTTTAATTTGTTAATATTGTATTGCCAATGTCTAATATATGAATTAAATTGGCTGCTGTGCAGCAGACAAGATGAAACTCCAAAGACACTGAATGATAGAACAGATTTTTGGAAATTGTTATAGCTTGATTTAATAGATATTGGTTAAAGATACATTATCATAACTGAATATCTCAAACAAAACTTCTATAAATAGAGTTACGTAGTGTTGAAAAAAGAACTGCATTTTAAAACAAAAACGTGCAAATTTGGATATGTTTTACAGGCACTATTAGGAAAGGGACATATGATTCATGAAGTCCAGTCTGAATAATCCATCCAGTTGATGACACAAGACATTCTCTGACTCAATAGTGGAATTACAGTGTTCATGTTACGAATTAATCTGCCAGAAATGTGTGCTTGCACATATTTGATTAGCCATCACAGTGCTTCTAACTGCTCATTAAATGAATCTACTGACAAGCATGAACTTTAACATTACTACTCTTTAAAGAGGTGTTATTTTCCCTCTCCTTTATTGAGTTATATATATTTTTTGTGCATTAAACAGGTTTGCAAAGTGAAAAAGCCCAAAGTCCAGCCCAAAGGGAGTTCCCATCTCCCACAGAAAGCTCTGCTCTGAACTGCTTGAAAACAGCTCGTTTGTAGTCCAGCCCTTCACTTCCTTTACTTGTGACGTCACAATGAAAACGCGTCATAAAGCTGTTTGTAGATTTCGAATATTGACAGTTTTACGAGAAGTGATGGCGGAACAAAAATGTGCTTGAATATTTTCGGAGTTGAGGAGCTCCGCAATTGGCTGCGGGGGAAGCCTGTACCAATCCACAGGAGGAGCTTGCGAGGCCGGCCAGCCGCCCGCTCACAGAGCCCTCTGCTCCCGCCGTCACACAGACCGCTGCAGCAACAACGGCAGAGGAAAACACAGCTGGAAGGTTTTCATACTTATCTGTCTTTACATTCTGAGGAATGTTGAAACGTTTTAACTTAAAAAAGAGACAGCTGTGTGGATCGCTGGTGTGTCACATTGAACATTGCGTCGCGGCAGTTGTGTGTGGCGTCGTCATACTATCTCTGGGTACTACCTGCAATGGAAAACGGAGCAGGGCCGAGTAGAGTCGAGTCTATTGATTTGCGCTATGGTAGCATTTTTCGGCAAGGCAGCATAGATCGTCAGAACACCGGCAACAGTTCAACATTTGGTCCTAAAAGACGATGCAACTCCGATTCTGTTTGGGCCTTGAAATTCACAATCACAACCTCTAAGTATGCTTTATTGGTTGTGAATTATATTTAAAATAAACACGGCAATTTAACTTCAGACTGTTCAAGTGCGGAGTTGTTGTAAACGTTGGCTAACACAGCTAAAGTTATAACTATAATGCTAATGTTACACCTGATGTGAAAGCTACTGAGCAAACGTTCAAATTGTTTGGCCAATTTTTATGTAAAATTGAGTTGAAATATGATGATTTTTGTAGTGGTTTATGGTAAGATGTGGAACAATGATGTTGTGTGGTTGTGGACAGTCTGAAGCGGCTTTGATTTGGATCACACTACCTTGTTTCTTACGACCCACCCTTCTCTGCTTCTGATTGGCTAGTAGTCCTTACCTGGTAACTGTGCATGTGCAACTCCCAACAAAGATTTTGTACAAGTAAGATGCATCACTCTGTAGCTCAAGAGCGGAGCGTACAACACACAGGGTGAAAAGAGGAGCTGCAGCAATGTGCAGTATGAGAAAAATAAAAATTAAACCATGTAAACCTGTTCTGGTACAACCCCTAATTAAGATTTGGAACCTGAAAATGAGCATAATACCACCTCTTTAACATTACACAAGTCCACTTAATCAAGTCAAACAACACCTTTTAGTCATGGTAGTGGTCGTGGTTTACATTAGTATTGTCAGGCTCTGTCCTTTTCCATCCGTCCGTGAGCTACTGTAATCAAAGCAAATTGATGGTAGTCATGATTTCTTATATCGAGAACACGGGTAACACTCTCCATGCCTTTGAACTATATAACATCATACTTGTTGATCCTCTAAAAATGTATTCATTTTTTTAAAGAAACTTGTTTGATTTAAAGCTCATTTTTGAGAATTAACGTTTCAGGTGCGGTCAGAATTAGGGTCAGAAATGTCCGGAAGTGGAACACAGGTAAGGACAGTTGTCTTAATCAATACATTTTCCTGCTTGCAGATTCAAACATTGTAGTGATACATTTTTTTCTTTCTTGTTATAGAGCACCAGCGCTGGAAACTCATCAAGTGTATTTACCCTTTTCCAGAAAGCTAAAGCTTCCAGACAAAACCTTAAAAGCTAAACTTCTAAATGCTAGAGTAGCGGTTTTATTAACTGCTAGCGCCTTATGGTAGTCATGTCATATGTAATTTTGGCCACATACTTTGGTCTAAAAATCTCAACAACTATTACACACATTGCCATAACATTTGTATAGACAGTTATGTTTCCTACACTATAAAAATGCCATAAAAAACAGAATAATGCTTTTGTTAAAAACATTAACCATAAAATAAAGATTGTATTCTGTAAAGTCATATTATGAGAAATTATAGTTTTTGAACAGGATTATTCCATTGCTTAACTTCCTTGAATGTTAAATTACATTGAATTCTATGTAAAAAGATAAAACAACTAACATCATGTCATTGAGTATAAAATTAAGACAACTTTTTAAGTTTTTTTTACACTGAAACTTCAAAGTTAAAGTGAAACTTCAAATAAATGTAAAAAAAAAAAAAAAGGACCAATTGTAAAAAAAAAAAAAAAAGACAAAGAAGAACACTTATCCTAAAATGTTTATTTTACAAATAACATTATTTAAAATACAGATATTAACCGCACCTTTTCTGCATTTAAAGTCCAACTGCAGTAGAATGAAAAATAAATGTTTAAATTACATAATTAAATGAAGTCTGCTGTTTTCAAACAGTATTCTTTGGTAAATTCATAAGATTATAAAATTCTCCCACAAGAGCTCCCTGTCAAAGTACTGATTTCTGGATGTAAAACATAAAAAATCACACAAAATTACCTTCAAATAAAGTATCTTGAAAGCTTTAGGCCTATATTTTATGGAATTATCCAATCTATTTACAGGAAATTCCTGTCATTACTTTATATAAACATTATTTTATAGTAATTAAAATCAACTATCCAATATATCTACTCACTTTTCCCATTGATGTATGGAGCTTTCTTTGTATCAACATTGTTTATAGCAGGAACTAACCAATATATCTAAATTATTTTAGCATTATTTTACGGGGTATACTTTACATCAACATTGTGTCTATTGTTAGATCCTGAGTTACCCCTGTTCAGGAGGTACTGGACCATCTCTCCGTCTTAAAGGGTCCGATCCTGTAGGCCTATGGCTATCACACAGTGAGCCATTGTTTGTACATTTGTCCCTTGAGACATGATTGTTAGAGCGCTGGGATCTCAACCTATTTGACACTATGTAATTAAAAATAGATTACATTCTTTTCCCAATAATGTATGGTATTTACTTTACGTCAACATTGTTTTATATTAAATAAAATCCATAAAAGCCATTTATTTTGAATATTGTTTTCTCCTGTTTTCTGGACAGGGAGTCAGGTTACTATCTCTTTTTTTTTACTTTTCGTATTTCCTTTGTTGTTAGGGTCAGTTAGTTGGGATGATGACAAGGTGGTTTGAATATCTCAGAGACACGCTGAGTGAAGTTGAAAGATTCAGTAATATTTACAAATTCAGAAGCATTTTTGCAAGTATCATCATCCACATGGATATTAAAATCGCCAACAATGATCACTCTGTCCAACTTAATAATGGATGATGGAAGAAGTCAAAAAAAGTGGTGGTGTAGGAACACCTGAAGCCGGAAAAGAGACTCGTGGCAGCGACATCAGGCGCCATGCCGGAACCGAAGGGTGAGGAAGTAACAACAAGCTGCTTTTCTCCAATTCTTACTATGTATTTACACATAAACAAGGCATGTAAGTGGAAATATAAAAGGTATTTATTTTATTGTTTTGGGTTATTTTCTGCGTTGCTCCTTTTTTTCTCCTCCTCTGACAAGTGATAGCCACATCATGCTACCTCCTCTTTCTTATGTGGTTTATGGCAATAAAAGAAAAAAACAACACATAGAATATTTGTTACTGCAAGTGCTGTAAAGGTACACTGTAAAAAAATAAATCGTAAAGTTACTGTAAAAAGGCTGGCAGCAAAGTTGCCAACCACTTACCGTCAAATTACAGTAAAAAACTGTTTTTTGAAAACGGATATTTACCGTAAACATTTTCTGTACTTTTACAGTCGAACTGCTGTTAAAAGAAAAAATTCTCTGTTGAATGTTAAACGAATGTATAAATCTGTATAAAAACCTAAAAATATTGCAGAAATACCTTAAAATTACATAATTAAAAAGAAGACTGCTGTTTTAATACAGTATTATTTGGTCAATCCATTTACAAGAACTCCTTGTCAAAGTAAAGACTTTTCTATGTAAAGCAAACAGAAAATGTTGTAAAGATTAAGATACCATAATTTAAAGCCCAATACCAGAATACTAATAGATTTAAACTTTTATTTTATGCCATTATTCAGTCGATTTACAGTAAATGCCTGTTAAATATTGTTTTTATCCTGTACAAAAAACCAAGATCATGTGATATTAAGTTACAGAAACATAATTTTAATTATATTAATTATTTTAATATAGTTATTGCTTTATATAAACATTATTTGACAGTAATTACAGACATATCTCCAATAAATTTTCAAGCTTTTACCATTAATATATGGGGGTTTACTTTATATAAACATTATTTGACAATAATTACAAGCAACTCTCCAATATTTCTACATACTTCAACTATTTAAGTACGAGGGATTACCTTATATAAACATTATTTGATAATAATTACAAGCAACTCTCCAATATTTCTACGTATTTGTGCCATTTAAATACGGGGGGTTACTTTATATAAACATTATTTGGCAGTAATTACAAGCAACTCTCCAATATTTCTACATATTTTTACCATTTAAATACGGGGGGTTACTTTATATAAACATTATTTGACAATAATTACAAGCAACTCTCCAATATTTCTACATATTTGTACCTTTAATGTATGGGCCTTTACCTTATAAAAACATTTTTATTACAGTGATTACAAGTAACTTCCCAATATATCTACATACGTTTACCATTAATATATGGGGGGTTACCTTATATAACCAATACTTGACAGTAACTACAAACACATCTCCAATAACTTTACATGCTTTTACTATTAATGTATGATGGTTTACTTTATATAAACATTGTTTTATAGTTATTAAAATCAACTTTCCAATATATCAACATGACATTTACTTATTAATGTATAGTTTCACTTTATATAGACATTAATAGACAGTAATTACAAGCAATTCTCCAATAGATGTAAAAATACACATTTATTTTATGTAAACAATATTTGATAGCAATTACAAGCAACTGTCCAATATATGTACAGACTTTTTACATTATTGCATGGGGTTTACTTTATATAAATGCTGTTTACCAGTAATAATAAGCAACTCCAATATATACAGACCTTTCTTGTAAGTGCATGGGACTTACCTTATATGAACATAATTTGACAGTAATAACAAGGGACTCCAATACATCTACAGGCTGTTCTCATTTTTTGACAGTAATTACAAGCAACATTCCAGTTTATGTGCACACGTTCCCTGTTAGTATATGGTGTTTTGAATGTACAAAAACCATTGACATTTTACAACAATGTCCCATCCAAAAACAAGTCATTGTTTGTTTTTTCTTTTTTAAAACCAAAACAGAAAACAAAGCAGCTGTGTTTTGTTCTATATAGGACCGGTGTTGCATCCCTACTGGTTTTCAAGCTAGCTGGCTGCTGTACACATGCCGCTGTTGTCTGCGTCGGGCTTCATCCAAAAGGGAACGATCACCGACCTTCCACAGTACACCAGGTCGCTCCCGTGACCTCCTCTCCCTCACCCTCTCCGGTAAACCTACTATGGGTTGGGTTGCCAGTGGAACCGGCGCACTGGACGGTCAGTGGTCATTCCCTCTGGCTGGATGCTCCTGATTTTACGCATAGCCTATTCCATGTGTTACTGCAGCTGGCGGCTCTCCGCAGCGTCGCGCAACTTTCTAAATTCTTCCATCTCGCGAAGAAAATAAAGGTCAGGTCGAAACAGTGTATAGAGGCTGAACTACAATTACCCAAACATTTCAATCCGTGTATGATTTGTTAATATACAATTCGCCAAATTAACTAATAACCAGGGCTCGAGACTAACCCTGTTGTCCTGGAGACGATAGAAAATATGTTTGGGACGAAGAAGAATATTCTGTAGGACGCCTCTAGGATGAAAGGGATTGTGGAGGCTTATGTATTTATTTATTAAAATCACTTAGCAAATGACAAACTGAACCGACCGAGCGCTGACGACAACAGAGGTCGTCTTCTCACGCTGTTACTACAGTCACGCCGGACTCACACAGGAGGCTGGCTGCTTACCTGTTCCTGCGGTACAGATCCATTATTCTCTCAGGCTTGCTGACCTCTCAATCACGCTGTGTAGGTTAGTTTTTATGGCAAGCCATTAGTGCCAAAAAACGTCACTCTTGTAGCATGTTTTGCTAACAAAACGCCGTAAAAAACGGCGTTTTCTAAAATGATAATGAGCTCCGCCCTGTGGATTTTACAGCCACTAAATTTGAACTGTTGTCACCCAATCAGTACAGAAGAAGAACAGACCACACTAATTAAGCACTGATCTCCTTTACTGTGATCATAGCCACCCAAAGGCAGAAAGTAACCACAGACAAGCATGAAAAACTCAACACAAAAGTCCCAGACTGATCAAGTAAATTGACTACATTTGTAACATCTATTGATTGATGATTTTAGATCAAATTTGACATAAATAATTAATTTGCATTTTATTTATCATCACTGTCAGATTAAAGTATCTCCTAAAATAGCACATACAAACACAAAGAAAGTAAGAAATCACCATAAGTGGAACAACTATCTTTACATGGTCATCAGTGAACAGTTTAAGCCTCATTTGTCTTTTTATGGGCCCTTCAGTCGGTGTAGTATTGATAGCGAGCCTACCCTTGTTTCTACAAAGCTTTGTTTTACCATGTCATCCTAAATCCAGGCTAAAGGCAACCTGACACAAACGTGTGTTTCAGTCGATTCAGGGAAAACACAGCTTGTCATTTATTCCCTGGCTTTTATTTATTTATCCAAAGCTATCCTTCCGGACTCCTGCGATAATATTTATGTTACCCCAAAACACTACACTATACAAGTTGCTACAAAAACTTATCTTATTCCATATTTATATATTTCCACATTTATTTATGTTGACTGTATGTTTGTCTACATGTAGCACCTTATCACCACAGCAAATTCCTCGTATGTGTAAAACACTACTTGACAATAAAGCTCCTTCTGATCATGAAAAGGCATCTGCAGGCTATTAAGATACTTGGTTTTAAAAAAACACTGCATTGCTTTCCTCCGAAATGGACATATTTGAGAAAGGTTACCTGAAGTCTTTGTGAAAGCATACCTTCTGATGATACCTAAGCTAAATAATAAGATGCATGTTTTGAAATCATGTTAATCATCAATAAGCTATCTTTACATTGTGAATAATGTTGGCTGATAATGACAAAATGAAATCGGTTTAATCAGTAAAGGTTGAAATTTATTTTACTGTGTAAACCACACAACATTCAAAATTATTATTATGAACAACCAGGATAAAGAATCTGTCAGACTATTTGTGAGAGACAATTGATTGGAGTCTTTACTACTACTAGATATTTGACTTAATACTTTGAACAATTAGGAATTATATTAAAACCAGTAAAGGTATTTAAAAAATAATGCAAAAATATAATTACGCTCATTTTAATGAACAACTGTAACCAATATAGCCTAAGTACATCATCATACATGTGTGTGTGTGCGTCTGCGTGAGGCTCCAGCTGGTGATGGGGCATCACTCGTGGGCCAGTCCATCGTAGGGTGAGTGGAAGTTCTTGGGCAAAACCTTCAGTTCTTGGGGCTGTTTGAACTTCAGCTCTTTAACTGGCTGGCTGGATGCGCACAGTGGGGCTGCTGTGGTGATACTCTTTGTGGTGTCCGAACGATAATGCTGCGATGATGTGTTGAGAAGAAATCCGCTTGACACTGTTCTTGATTATAAAAGTTTATTACATCAAAGAATTCAGCATCAATTACAAGCTCTGCAGCAGCTTGGAGAGTGACCCAGCCCGATGGCCACTCTGTCTCTCTGTACATTGAACACAGCTTATATAAGACATGTTTAGGTCTCTGCTAAATACCATATAAGGGCACAGTCCCTTCATACACACTAACCTCTACTCCCCCTACCACTGGGTCAGAGGTCAAATTTCATAGAAGGGTTCACTCTTTGCACACCCATCAATCATTACTTCCCCTTAAGGGTTCACTGTGCCTCTGTCCAGCTCTGAGTCAGTGGTCAAGTT